CCAATTCATCCCTTTCAATACGAATTTCAAGCAACAATGCAAAGTAAGATTGATACAAACTTTTTTTTTTACTTTGTTTGATTAATTTTCAGAAATAATCAGTACTTGTGGTTTAGAACGAGCCTCCTTCGGATTATTTTTTATATTTTTTTTCTTTTCTGGATAAGGTCTTCATTAGCAACGTAAAACTCAATGATTTCCTTGTCTATTGGTTGGGCTGCGACCTTTTTTTTCGAGTGGAAGAATGGTTTTGCCCCTCTCCATTGTAAGCCATATGATTCTATTGAGGTACAACCAGTGCCTCATTCGTCTTGAGTCTCTTGGAAGACCCAGCTCCTGGTTCTGGGACGCTGAAGGATATGTCTAAGGGGTGGTCTGGGTCGGTCTTCGAGCCCATCTTTTGACTCTTTTTCTTTTTTCGCTGTCCCGCTGGGTGGTCTCCGTTTGCAGCACCAAAAGTTGGCTTATCTGTGGTGGAGACGAAATTAGGCTTATAACGAGCCTCCTTCGGAATATAACCACTTCCCTCCACCGGTTTTTCCCTCTCCTCATGTGGGGGGGCTTCCGCGGGGGGGGGAGGTAGGTTGGACCGAGACTCGGTCTTTGTGAGTGAGGTCTCGGGGGATGAAGCATGGGGGGTAGGAACCAGGGGGGTGGCTGGAAGGGGGTGATCGGAAGAAGATATCTCCATATCCTGTGAATCCAAGCTCTTCCTTTCAGACTGTTCCTGCTTGTCTTCCTTCCTTCCCTGATCTTCTATCTCAACCCCCCTTTCCTCCTCGATCCCCTCTCTTAATCCCCCTTCTTCCCATTCTTTTGCTCTCGACAAGTCCCGAGAGGACGATGGTGTGGTCTTCGTCTTATTTCTTAACTGATTTTGAGCTCTTTTGGGTTTCCAAGCTTGAATGGGCGGGGGTTTAATCTTTGATGTCTGAAGTTTTATCATACCCTTGGTCCTCTGTTGGGGATCAGAACTAGTCTTTCCTTGCTCTTCTTGATTGGAGGTCCCATCATCAACATGTTTCTCTGGGCCACAGGGTTGCTGTTTGTTCTCCGTATCGGTGAGGATGTCTCTGGGGGGGGGGGTCTTTCTTCCAAGTCCATCGCTTTCTGGACTGCCTTGTCCTTTGGGACTACGACTGTAGCTCGTTTGCCATCCACGGAGGATTTGTCGTCCGCCTTAGAGTTCCCCCCTTTTTTGATGGGACTTTCTGAGACAAGAACCTCCGTGAACGATTTGTTGTGGCCGCTGAATCTCATTCTGACAGGACAGGAATCATCAGTTTCAGAATGGAAGTATCTGCGACATTTTTTACACCACGGGGTATCAGGGCAGGCGATGTTGAGATCAACCCACCCGTCGTCATTCCGATCGATGATCAGGTGTTGTTTGTACCAAACTCTGGCAGACACCTCCATGTCAAATCTCACATTCCACAGATCCGGGCCAATCGGATCCGCAAAAGCCTCGTGTGTCTTCGTTATCTTTCCAAAAACCTTTTGAATTCCTCCTTTCAGATGTGGTAGGACTGAAACAGGTACTTGGATGGCTTTCACCCATAAGTAACAATACTTATGGGCCTCATTCCATTCGTACAGTTCGTTCTTATTCATCCATGGACAAAATCTGAGTGTGTATTTTTTTCCATCCAGATCAATTGTGTTGATTCCTTTTCTAATCATCCAGGTGACAATTTGTTTGGCGTTTGCGACGTATGTTACGAGGTTTTTCCCATCGCATCGAAAGACACCCCTTTTAGGGGTTATATTGAAATCTGCAGCGAGGGACCAACCTTCTTCGTAAATACGTATCAAACGGTTCTTAACTGAGGCTGGGAGCGAGATAGCATCATTGTCAAACTGGACTGAGACAGCATGTTCATATAACCATTCAGCCTGAATTTCATAAAATTTTTGGTTCATCACGACTCTGACAAAGTCCTGACCCGAGTCTACTATGCTGGGGGCATACTCCTCAGGGAGGACACCCTTGGTATAGCAGTCTTCTATTATGCCCCTTATTCGTTCCTTTTTTTTTTTGGATGGGCCAGTGTTTGGTGGTGGTGACTCAGTCATTTTGAGATCTGCAGATCAGGTTGTGGCTTTTTGAGAATGAGGTCGTTAGTTCACGGTTGTGATGAGAGATATTCCACTGTATCCTGATTTTATGGGTAGGTGGACATGCAGAAATATAGGGTGCCCATCCGCTGGTGGAGGAGAGGAACCTCCCTTGCAACGCAAATTACCAATGGGCGCTGAGTGGAAAATCTTCACAATCGTTGCATGTGTACAATTCAGCATTCACAACGGTAGCGTGAGCGTCATCTGGATTAAGAGCGATAGTAAATTGCCTAAAGTGCAGACGAGCTGTGAAGTTCGCCCGGAATCGTTTGCTAGTTACAATCGTTCAATACTTTCGTGGTCCCTTGTGATCCTGCTGGAATAGTTCTTCCTTATTCACTTCCCATGGATGCAACGATGGACGGGACAATTGACCAGTTAGCCTGGAAATCTATGAGGATATGCACAGACTGCGTATGAGGCCAGGGGATACATCAAATCCTTGCGTTTATCGGTCGACAGGAGAGCGAGTTTGGTATCTTTTTAGCTGAGGGGCGTACCTGCGGGGGGTGAAGCCATTGGTAATTCCGTGTGGGAAACTCGTCTATTATTCTCTATTGGCTCCAAGACACCCTCGTTACATGAGCTTGGAAATCTCTCTGTCTCTAGAAGGGAAAGGCTCGCTCATCAAGTCTGGGGAGAACTGCACAGGGTAGGGTACTGTAATTACCACCCCTTGGAGACAGAGTTGTTACCGTCCTGTCCTTACAAAGTCGGGCATGGTAAGAAAGAATTGTCGTCCTTCTCCTGTGCACAAAACTCACTCAGAGCTCACGAGAACGACTCCCCTTTCCTAGGGCTATGGAGGCGAGACTAAAGCCAAGAGGGATTGTTCCCGGTATACCTTGCATACGAGAATTGGCCCGTATATTGAGAGATATAAGGATAATATAACCTCGACTTCGCCTACGAATCAGCTTCGAGCGGAGTCTGGGGAGGATAGGCGATTACCTGGCCTTGTGAGCTATGAGTGGCTGAGCTTATCATCGTCGAATTTTGCAATTACCCCTTCAAGTCGGCGAAGCATACGTGGTAGGCCGCTTCTTCACTCGCATTGCGAGTTTACTTGAGATCACTTCGCCTGGTAGGTGGAGAATCTGGGATCTCTTGATGTCTGGTTCGCTGTCGTCAATTCGTGCTGATCTTGAGAGCCAATAGCAAGATTTGGCGCCTCAACCCAGGCTCAGTCCCTTGTTACCACCCTCCTCTGCCTGATCCCTTAGCGGGACAGCTCGTCCCATCCGAACTCCCTTCCTGATGAGGTGGGCGAGCTCGGCCGTGCACATAGGATGATCTCCCGGACAGGAGAACCACATGCACGTGCAAGACCAGGTTAATACCCAGGTTGCCTTTGCAGCTATGGCGTGCATGCCCTGAAAGCCTTCGTGGCCATGGCGTAATTCGATAGAGGCGAGCTACGGTGAAAAACCTATGCTGCCAACGGCAAAATTTTCCCTCTACGGAGTTACCGCCGCCGCAGTACTGGTAACTGAGTCGAGTAGGTTCCGGCGCTAGCGCTAGCACAGGGGAGAAGTAGCGCTACCAGGCCCCTTCGCCGCCAGCCCCCCTCATCCTCATTTTTTTCACCGGCTCTCTATTTTCGAGAGTGTGCAGGCGGATGGCCTCCCCATTTTCGGAAATGAAAAAAACAACAACAACAACAAGTTCGACTTCTTTTTCTTCGTGATCAGGGAGGGGTGGAACGATGGAAACCTTACATGTAAGGGTTTTGTAGTGGTGTCGAACGAGGCCCTATGTATGGTATACGGGGGAGCACCAACCAAACCAGGAACTCTCCCCAGCACACGGGGTAGGTTGGCACCACATGTCTTTTTTCCGAAAACGGAGGGGTTCTTCCTCAGGCCATCTATGTCACGTGCCGACGAACTTGACCGCAAATGCAGTCCGATGCATTGACAAATTTTCAGCCAGGCCTGGTTATCAATCAATTATCGATCTTTCGACCGAGAAGGCGAGGCTGGATTATCGATCTTTCGACCGAGAAGGCAGGGTGAGGGTGACGTGGCCCTCGTGTGAATGCGACTAGGGCACGGGCGCCGACTAGAGAGGGTGTGTGCGAAAACGGACGGATGACAGTGTGTGCAATGTCCTCTTCGTTCTGTTTCATTGATTCTGTCTCCGTTAGTCAATGATCGATTTCCGTTAGTCGACGACCGATCCCGGTAGGTAGTAAATGATAGCTTCTGGGGCAGCGGAATGGGGAGAGAGTTGTGAGGGAGGGAGGGAGGGAGGGAGGATGGAAAAAAGGAGAAGGGAGAGGGAGGGAGGGAGGATGGACGAAAGGACAAGGGAGAAAGGAAAGCTTTGATGAGTGGATGGATGGCTCTGCTCGGATCGCGATTTCGCGATCGACTTGATGAGCAAAGTGGATGGCTGCTCGATGTTTGAAAGGTCGGTCGTCAAGAAATCGGGACAGACTTGTTTAGCAAAGGATTAGCAAAGGACGGAAGGAAGAGTGATCGTGTGTGGTCAATGGTCATGAATGAATGAAATTTCGTGAGGGAGGGCACCGGTGTAACACTGCCACGTGGCAGCAAGTCAGCTGTTTAGTTAATATCGCGTCTCTCTTCAGCTTGTTTTCTCGATGGGAGCCCGAAGGGTAGTAGTGGTTTGCTGGTCATCAAACACGAGGATGGGCGGGAGCGTATGTAATGCTGCCACGTCTGAGGGATTTTGTGAAACATCGCTTCTCTTCAGCTTGCCGGAAGATGCCCTTCCACCATCTCTCTCCTCTTCTCTCTCGCTCTTTCCACCACGCGTCTCTCTCTTCTCTCGTTCTCCTCCCTCCTCCTCCACACATCTTCTCCCTCTCCTGGCTTGTGATGCCGTTCTCGGATGAACGTCATCGGGCCGTCAATCAATTTGTTCTCATCGAGAGAGAGAGAGAGAGAGAGAGAGAGAGAGAGAGAGAGAGAGAGAGAGAGAGAGAGAGAGAGGTATTCCTTTTTTTTTTTTTTTTTTTTTTGGTTGAGAATCGGATTGGTTCTGGGTCGTCGTCCGAATGGCTCTTCTTACCTTGAAGCGCAGCGGCGGCAGCAGGGGCGCAATTGGGATTAGTATTTACGCCGCCGCCGCCGCTCGAGATGGGAATGTAATAATGAATAATTGGATCCGATCACTTGCAGGACGTGTAAATCAATCATCATCTCCCTCCACCCCCTCCTCCTTCTCCTCGTTCTCCTCCTCCTCCTCCTCCTCCTCACACTCATCGTCATCATTATCCACAACCCTATCTTCATCATGTCCATCACTGCAATCGTCGTCGTCGTCCTTGTCATCATCACCGTCGTCATTACGAGCATCTGCCACGTGGAAGGTGGAATCACGGTCCGTTCATCTAGTCGCGATCAATGACGTGGCAGCGGCGAATCCATTCACGTCGTCGTCATTATCTACAGCCTTATCCTCGTCACCATCATTGCCATTTTGGAATGAATCGTCGGGAAAGGGCGTGGGAGAAGCGAATGGGCAATTACTAGTATTACCTGTCGGTGAAAAAAGGTGCGGCGATCACGTCAGCAAGAGCCACGTGGGGGACTGCAATCGTGCGCGGAGCTACCACGTGTCACCATTTTTGCCATCGTCGGTGTTGAAGATGATGATGGCGACGAGAAGGGACAGGGGAAGGCGGCGGGAAATCAGAATGAACACGAACAAACCGGACCTCGTAACGGTCGCTCGGCGCGCATTGCGCGCTCAATATCCGCGTCCGATTACTGTTGATAAAGAAAAGCAGCAGCCAGTCCTGATGGAGTTCACTTCCCCTCCCCCTCCTCCTCCTCCTCCTCCTCCTCCTCCTTTTCCTCCTCCACCTGCTCCTTCTCCTTCTTCTCCTCCTCCTCCTCCTGCCGATTGTACTTGGTCGTCGAGTTGTCTTGTTGGTCATGTTTCAGCGAGCGGAATGATGAAGACCCCGGCGCCGATGCCGACGACGACGGCGAGGGGGAGGAGGGAGGGGGGGGGGAGGAGGAGGAGGAGAAGGATTTCCTCTGGCAGATCATGGGCTGGGCCACCCATATTCTCATCGCCGTCGATCTCTTTGCCAGATCATCTTCGCGATCTCCGCACTGTCCAGCCGTCTTTTTTTTCCCGCCTTTTTCGTTCCACCCGAGTAGGCGGTGACGTCAACGTAATTTCGCTCGTTGGGGGTTTCCTCAGTCCCCGCCGTTTTTCCACTTTGGCCACGAGGAAAGACGGTGACGTCAACGTAATTTCGCGATCGAAGAAGACGGCAAGCCAGAGAGTCAAGCGGACGGCGATGGCGAAAATAGCGGCAAACGTGAAAGAAGCAAGCGGAAGAGGAGGAAGTGGAGGAGGAGGAGGAGGAGGAGGAGCAGGAGGAGGTGGTAGTGGTAGTGGTATGTCGAAGAAGAGGGAAACGACGAAGCGATGGACAGAGAAGGCAGGGGGTAAAGGAGGAGGAGGAGGAAGAGAAGGAGGTATTCCGAGGAAGAGGGACATTCCGATACGGTTGGCAGATAAAGCAGGGGGCGGAGAAAGAGGAGCAGCAGCAGCAGGAGGAGGAGGAGGAGGAGGAGGAGGAGGTGGAGGAGGAGGGGGTATTTCGAAAGACAACAATGAGACGGTGATGGTGGGAGAAGATGAAGGAGGAAACGACTTTGTGATTTCTCTCGATAATATACTTGAGAGAATTAAGAAAAAACGTGAGCGTCAACCAATAGAGCGATTTTGGACAGGAGAACGCGTTGCGACCTCAGTGGAGGAGATGTGGAGTGAGAGGAAGCGTGGAGGAGGAGGAGGAGGAGGAGGAGGAGGAGGAGGAAGTAGGCACCAGCAGACAAGTGGGAAAGCACTAGGCGAGCAGCTGCTGCTGCCACGTGGTGTATGCGAGGTTTGGGAGCATGACTCCTTCTCCTCCTCCTCCTCCTCCTCCTCTATCGATCGCCCCCCTTCTTCCGAACGACCTAGAGGGGACACAATTTCTGTTGACGACAACAGTAATGCGCTCTCCCGCCGTTTACGCATGGGCGGATCAAGGAACGGCGGTGCAGCGCTCTCTCTCGCGGCAAGGCCGCGGAACGATGCGCTCTCTCTCGCGGTAAGGCCGCGGAACGATGACTATCTTTGGCGCGGTGATGGAGAATGGGAGAGAGAGGCGATCGGGGGACGAAAGAAGGTAGAGGAGAAGAAGAACGAGAAGCGAGAGGAGGAGAAGGAGGAGGAGAAGGAGGAGGAGAAGGAGGAGGAGGAGGAGGGTGAGCGGGAGGGGAGGAGCATGCGAATTACCAAGGACATGAAGAAACTACTAAGTAGTATCGGTGTCACAACCACAGAGGAGGTGGCCTTCATTGCGCGTAATTCCCCTGTAGTCGGCTTTCGCGACCGAATTCAGTGCCTCGTCAACATCGGTGTAGAAGGCAAGGAGCTTGCTAATATGATCAGGAATTATCCGCAGTTGCTATTTGTCAGCACAGGTAAGCGACACGTGTCACACACACGCTATAACGCGTCGACCTCATCCTGATCGTCGCAAAATCATCACTCATGATTGTGCTCATTATTACCAGCACAACAGCCACATTATCCTCTCTCCCTGTTCATGCGGAGCTGTCCTTCTCCTCCTCCTCCTCCTCCTCTTCGTCCTTCTCCTTCTCCTTCTCTTCCTCCTCCTCCTCGTCCTTCTCCTTCTCCTCCTCCTCCCCCTCCTCTTCCTTCTCCTCCTCTTCCTTCTCCTCCTCTTCGTCCTCCACCCGCTGTTGATCCTCTTCGTCCTTGCCTCGCGCATTTCCGCCTCCTCTTCGTCATAATAAGCCCTCATCGTTCAGGTCTTCCTTGTCTTTTTCGTTGTTCTCCCCACACCTCTCAAAAAGAAAGAAAAGAATGTGCAGGATATACCTTTCTCGGCCTTTTGGCTAAAAATAGATCAAGTGTAGTATCTGTTATCTGATCAGTTTAATATCTGATCCGTGGTCCGTCGGGCACAGTAAAAAAAAAAAAGGAAAAAAAAAAGAATGTGCAGGATAAACAAAGAGACAACGTAATGAACAAATCTACCTTCTTCTAAAAGGGCCTTTACCTGATGTAGGCCTCGGGCCTTGTGAAAGTAAAGCAGTACGGGCCTGGTAAAAGTAAAGCATTGTGAAAAGGTATCTCGCCAGGGCTCAGAAACGTGAAAGCAGGTCAAAG